TGCACGAGCTGTTTAGATCGTTAAAAAATTTTATTTGACTTCTTTTTCTCGCCCTGACCTTTTGCAATGGAACATCAATCTATATAGTTTGTGTTTCATTTGCGTTTTGATTTTGTTGCAGTAGGATGTTGCGGATCTGACAAAAAATGAAACTCGAAAATAGAAGTCAAGCTCAAAACGCCTACTTTCCCTGAAAAGCACGTCTTTTTGATTGTGTTCAGCCTTATATAAACCGTTCTCGTTTGATAGCTGTTAAATATATATATATATATATATACAAAAGAAAAACGCTTGCAAAGCGTATAGTGATAGACAAACGGTGAATAAAAATATTTTCGGGATCATTTCTGCGGGAAAGGTTTGATTTAAATTGTGATAGTAACTGGTTTAATTTAAATTACGTTTTACATCATTACTTAAAACATACCGACTTCTATTCTCCACCCTACGGTGTAGTATATGATATATCCACTGAATGTCATATTAAAACAAGTTAATCGCATCACATGCTCAGAACAGACTTACAATTACCACCTACGAAGAAAGGCAATCTTGACAAAGTGGAATGCACTTTGACTCTCAAAAAAAAAAATCTTAGAAAGACTTAGAGATAAAATAAAATAAATTAACTTGGCGAATTAAGGGATTAGCAAAACATTTTCATCTAAGAATCAAATCTGCGATGTAACTCTGCACTTGAGCGCTATAAAGGTCACTGTGTCTACTTTCTCGTAGAATTCACTGGAAAGCCAATCACTAGAATCTACGAAGGAAGCTCCGTTATTGATAAAGCTGGAAAAAACGTTTCGACTTAAAACGAACACCTACGCAGTGTTCCTTTGTTCGCAAATGTTTCACAAGCCAATACGTCGCTCGATGTAACAGCGCGTATCGCGTTATTCAGTCCAAGGGTTTTCTGGACCCTGTCATTCGCTCTCTTAGTGATGTGTAGAAAGATCAGCGCGCAGAGATTTCTAAGTTAACGATATATCTTCTAAAACCCGCAAACACACAGCAAGCAAACCGCAATACAGGTATTCAGGCTCCCACGCATGGAAGAATGAAAAGTCAAAAAAGAAAAAGAAACGTGCCAGGGGCAGTACGTACGCTGTTTCAACTCGTATACCGACGAAGGACGATCAACACGTGTGTTAGCTAACGTTCACTAGGCCTTTTTATATGACGGTGGTTGGAATCAGACAACGGGGAAGGGGGTGGAGGGGCGGTCTGTTTGACAATGGATGATTCGTGGGGTCTTTGCTGGCGCAACACACCAAAACGTCGTAATAGGTGAGCGGCACTCAGAAACACGAGATACGTCACCATAGCATGTGCACGTTACCTGTTTCGTCAGAGAAAGGGTTCTTGAGTGAGAGTGAAGCAAAAGCGCACGGCTGTTGACTTATGGGACAGATAAATCCAATATCGTGAAGCCCTTTGTCAACCTCGATGTCACCTGCTCGTTTTGCCTCATCAAAGCCTGGGCCCGCGAACGAACTACTACTTCCATAAATCCGTCACCGCGCGAGTTGCATTCTAGAAACCTGTGGGCCAAGAACGGAGCGCGCGTGGATTCTGCTTACTACTGATTTCCATAATGCATGACGCGGCATTACGCCATGATGAGGTGCTTCGAATTTTGAAATAAGTCTATTTTGGGAAAGGTTTTGTTTCTCGAAATTCGCAAGGTAAGGCGTTGACAAACGCCTTATCTTGCGATTTTCGAGAAACAAAACCTTGTTTCTCGAAATGTGCCTGTAATAAAAAAACTATCATGCACATCTGGAACACATGGAAATCAGAATTAGAAAAGATACGCTCAAAAGGGCACTTGCGAAAAAAATCAATAAAATCCTATATCATCAAATATTATACTCTTTAAATTTTTCACAAAATCCCGCACATTTGTTAAAGACACGGTGTCATTGGAAAGCTGATTCCATTCCTTGTTGGCCCTTGGAAAGAAACTAAAGCTAAAACAATCATTTTCACGGACGCTTCTTGAATGTACATACTGTGACGTTGTCTCTTGGTTTCACCGTAGCGCACATCCATATCCTTATTGATATTAACTAGTCCGTGAAGAATTAAGATGCTGAACTTGAGGCGGTCACACTTTATTCGCAATTGAAGAGCAGTAAGTTCGGCAAGTTTACAAAGTTCAGGGGTTGAATTAGCGTAACTATATATATGTATTAAAAAAAAATCTTTATGGCAAGCCTCTGAATTGTATCCAGTTTGCATAAGTTAGTTAATGTGTACGGATTACATGCAATTTTTGCGTTCCAAGAACAGGTCTCGCCAAACTTTTATAGGCTAAGATTTTTACTTCAAGTGTAGAACTTGAGGAATTTCTTCTAAGCTATCAAACCACCTGTTTGCTTTCGTGGAGACATTTTCTTCATGAGTATTCCATCGCAACTCGCTAGTAGAGGTCAATCCCAAATACTTACTTTCAACTGCGCGCTATAGTTTGATATCTTCTATGAAGTAATCAAAATTTAGAAATTGCTTCTTTTGTTTTTATTGACATGAAGACCAATTTTAGAGGATTTATAAAGATAAGGCGAACGCGTGCAGCGCGTGTAGTTACGTTCCCATGGCATTCTCCTTGGTGCTTGGCCAATTTCGCAAAGGGTCTATTGAGATATTACTCTAATCTGGTGCACTAGGAAAATAGTCCACAAGAAACGGTCAGATGTGTCGAGAGGCTTCCAGCGCAACGATTGCACCTAAAGCCACTAAATATATGCTACGGTTCAGTGTAACGTCACTGATTCTACCATTTTTGTGCGTCAATTCATTGTTGCCGTTTATCAAAAGCTTTATCTTAAGTCGCAGGAAGCGCCTTTTCTATCCTCTACAACTTTTGAAACAGTTCGTGGCAAAGCAAAGAGATTTTCTCTGAGTTTCTTGACACCGTAAGCATCTAAAGTTGAAGAAGTCGCATTTTCGAATTGTGACGATCGCGATTTGCGCCTGCTTTGCACTGAACATCACAATGGCCACGCCCATAACAACATCTTGAAGCGGAGTTCCAATATTTAGAGCATAGCCTATTTAGTGGCTCTAATTGCACAGTCGTCCTGAAATGGAAAAGGGGGCATCAGTAGTAGGGATGGACTGCAGCGCGACACCCTCTGCGCGAACAAGCGATCGCATTTGTGTGTGGGTGTGCGTGCAAGGGAGGATGCAGGTGTTTCCAGTGAAGTGGGGTCAGGACATCCGGACCCCCCCCCCCCCCCCCTTTACCGCTCTCAATCTGCCACTGTATGTGTGTGTGTGTTTTAGAATCAAATAGCCGTTATGAAACATAGGGAAACATTGGAAAGTGCTAATTTTTGGGACCTAGCTTAAACGCCGATTGGTCGTTCGCTCTAACAATTTCGGCGAGTTTACCCTTAAGCTGAAACTAGGTGCTCCGCCTTCAGCGCGAGCTCGCTGGCTTCCGCAGTGCTTTGGTTGCGCGCGCTTGCGCGTTTACGCGTGTGTTAGCAAGGGCAGAAAGCTCGCGCTGAAGGCGGGGCTTCTAGTCTCAGCTTAAAGGTGAACGGAGTATAGCACGACGCTGTGACATGGGCGATCGCCTTTTTTTTTTTTTTCTTTTGCGTTCTCTCTTTGCGCAGACAAGCGATCGCCCGTTTTCTCTTCTTTTTTTCTAATACAAGGGTTGATATCGAAACCATAGCTAGATGACAGGATTGCACTTTGCCTTGGTTGACTTCAAGAAATTACAATGACGAAAAAGAAAAGAAAAAAGACCCACGTCTTTGCGATTCTCTGAACGATAAATCACTACTTTAAGTCCAAAAGGCAGGGGGAAGGGGTTCTGACAAGAACTAACAGAACCGTTTAGCCTGGGTCAGTAGGCACGTGGCAGGAGACCACTTTACCATATTACGTAATAGCTTTAGGGAATAACATAACTCACAATCCTTGGGCCCACAGCGCGAGATTTGGCCTCGCATGCTGCCCAGTCGTGACAAGGAAGAACAAGAAGGCAACACCGATGAGAGGGTAAGCGCTATTTTTCTCTAATATCACGCCTCTTTGCGTGTGTTCGGGGCCGCTCTTCCATTCATCGAGGCTTAATTTAGTTCATCCGCCTCTATTGTAAAAGTTGCGTGCCTTTTCTTCAGCCTACATCCACAATCCTCAACGATACGAATAATATTTATGTCCAACGTGGGTCGGTGAAATGCGTGTGAATTCTGGCGAATGATTCGAGTAGGCTCATTGATATCTCCTGTTTCTTTTGATCTTTTGATCCGCAGAGAAAGCAAAACAAATGCAAAAACCGAAAGGTGAAGAAGTTCTGTTTCTACCGAATATAATGAAGTCATGAATGTGACTCTGATCACAACGTATCACACACTGCAGTCATGCTCAGATTCGCAGTGCAGAGTAGCGGTCTGCGTGGGCTCGGGCTATTGCCCGAAACCCTGAGCCCGACCCGACAGATGGGACGGGCTCGGGCCAATGTATGAGTGCACTGTTTGGATTCGGGTCGGGTTCGGGCCAATTTATCCCGGACTGCGTCGGACTCGGGTCTGGCCTAGTTGAAGGCATCGGGACGTGACGGCCCGACCTTGCCAAATATTTCAAAAATTGGGGGTAAATATTTATTCCATATTCGAAAACCAAAATAAGTACCGGAAAGATTATTTTAACACAAAAAGCGCCAACCTGGTTATTGTGCCGGGACTCATTATGTTCTATACTAAGCCCGCTAAACTATAACCTAAATCTAGGCGGTCTAGGTCAGCGCCTTTTAATGGGAGGCCGTGGCCACTGCGAACGCATTTCTCATATCCAGGAAGCCTTGCTCGTCAGTGAACGTGGAAATAACCTTGACTTTTTCTCCTCTAAAGAACATTGCCTTTAGGGGGGGGGGGGGGGGGGGGGGGAGGGGGGGGGGGGTTCGTATACGTCAATGAGAGAACTCCAGTTTACTTACTCAGCTATATAATATTCCTTTATCTTTTCATAAACATAATTACCTCAGAGCTTTCCCTCCTTCCACACCGCGGATCCATCACTTCCGCCGATCCACAAACGGTCCCTGAAACATCAATGATCGAGAACCACTGGACAAGGAACTCCGCAACACCAGACATCACGTGTTAAAGAAAGCCGGTGCGCACACTTTCTTGCAGAACACGTGGGAGTCAAGCTCTGCGTACTGCGGAAGGGTCATAGCAAATGACAAAGCTCGGGATGGGGTTAGACCTGAAAATGCAACGTCCGCATAGCACTGATAAAAAGAAGCATGACGTTTATAGCGCTTCTTTTTCTTTTAATGAGCGCTTTGCATATTTCAAGTATAATCCTAGACTGAGCGTCAGCCTACTCCCTTTTCCGTCCCTGGGGGCTAAGTTCGACATCGGCAAGTGGGTACAGGAGGTGTTGGTTGGTCACAGCGGGTTTGCCGCTTGCTGCGATTGGTCAGCAGTGTGCCTGACGGGACGCTCGGGAAAGTCGCAAATAGACCGGTCACATCACCATGACGCAGACGTCACAATCTTGATAGCATTTTACATTGCACGAGGCGTGGCGCTGACAAATTGCTGCAGGGGGCGAACTCGCCGACCAACAAACCGATGTGGAATTTAGATTTTACGAGTCCCACGGGAAAGCATATACCATTTCGTTCAAATGTGTTGTGAACTAAATTATTCATGCGCAGTTCCAGCAAACGCAAGCCCGTTCACAGGCTTGCGTTTCCTTAGGACCGAGTTCTTGTGATCTCCAACAGAGAGTAAACAACACACTGTCAAACTGGAGCGAGCTATGAGCAGACCCTGGAACAGCATTTCATTAGAGCGAAGGCTTTTGCCGTATTTGCAAGATGAAATGTACATATTAGGGTTTCTCAGAAAGTAATGCCCACATTTTTCTTCCCCTCCAAAACTGTTCAATAAAAATATATTAAATTCACACCAAAATATTACAGCACCTTTCTTGCACACATGCTATTTTTTTACTTAACATCGGTCTAGTTCTGTAGCTTTACGCTGGCATGGAACAAGGACATGCATGCCTTTCCCGTTCAAAACTCGTTTTCTGCACACGCGGCCATGTTCTCACTCCTCAAATTATGCTATTGTTTTTCTCGGAAGTTTGCTCAGTGCAGTGCATTCTGAAGTGGCCTGGAGATGTAAAAGTCTGATGGTGCCACGTCAGGCTTGTTGGGGGAGGGGGAGTGCAGTCAATCAAAAGGTAGAGATTGCCTTCTGGGTTTTGAGGCATATGTGAGGGTGGCCATTGTCGAGCTGGAAACATTTTCTTGAATGCCTCTTAATCCACCTATACCAGTAACGTCGATAATGGGCATTGCACTTACTTTGCTGACTTTGGGGCACATTGTCATCTTGTGATGTGCCAAATCACAATAATAAAATCATTGGCGCGCAGCAACATAACTGGGTTGGTCGCTGTGGCAGGACGCTCCGACTCCAACCAATAATGTAAGTTCGACTCTCTACCCTCCGAGGCTGTATTATTTTCACCCCGCATCCAACCGTGCTCCTATCGAGTGTACGTCTTCCATACACGGACCTATAAAGTATATTTTTTTCCAAACGAATATCTTTTTTTTTTTATTAGGAACTCAATTTTATCTCGTCGCGTTTAATACATGTGAGGCAGAAAAACCATTATTATGGACTATTACATCATCATCCTTTGTCTAACGACCGCGAAATTATATAGATGTGCGCAGGAAATATCAGTGTTGCAACATGTTAATTTTCATATTGGTATATTTATTCTTGAGCGAGAAAGAATTAGTGGGACATTACTTTTTGAGCAACCCTCGTACTATTCATAAGAACAAATTGTAGTTTAGAAAGTTTTAGAAAAATGTTCATGCACCTCCCCCTCCCCCCCCCCCCCCCCACCCCAATAATAAAAAAGAGTGGCACTGAAATAATAAATAATAAATTCACGGAAACTAGAAGTACAGTGTTCCATGCCTATCCGATGATGGCGCCAGGGTCAATGCGAAGATCCGGCGGAAGCCGGGGTGAAGTGGCGAAAGCGGCGGCGCCGCCAGCGCCGCACATTCACTCTGTGGTTAATTTGCGAAGTAAGGACACGCTGGAGTGACCTTGAAAAATTCGCGTAACGCAACCCAGATTTTTTTTTTTTTTTTTTTTTTGAAGAAGGTTGAAAGTACATGAATGAATAATTGTAAGAGATTGGTGGAAAAGGGGAGTTGCAAGGCTCTAAGTCCGCTTACTGAGCCAGGGAGGTGACATTGACTAGAAAAATTTTCTGAAACATGAAGGGACACTGCGAATGTGGGGTGCACGCTCGGGGTTTGGGTCAGAAGTCCCAAGGAGCCGAGTCCGCAGATTTTACTGCCCCCTCAGTCGTGGCCGCGGTCGCGAGCGCAGTCAAAAGAAACTTTGAGTGCGTTCTAAATGTCGCCTTCACGACAACGTCACGTGCGTTGCCCTTTCAGTCACGAGCAGTCGTAAATTAAAATTCTAGTGTGCTGAAATGAAATACTTGAATACATCATTTTCTAGAAATTGTGATTGAATGGTATTTGTTAAGCTCATTGCCTCCGCTAGGAGAATATTTAAGGCTACTGGTTGGTCATCGCGCCAAAGGTCATTGAAACAATTTCGGCCAATGATGTCTCATTATTTTCGCCCTATTTTTACCCATTAAAGGGCAACTCCGCTCAATTCCGAAAAATTTAGGCTTACATGTGATTTCATTTCACAAAGCACTACTAAACAGCTCTACGTCCTCGGATTCGCAAAATGTGAAATATTATTTGTGTAATCTTAATTTAAACATCAGCTGATACCGAAACCGAAACTTCGGTTGCGTCAGGCACCATTGGTCTCGTGTCGTCAGAGTCATGGCCAAGTCACGTCGAAAACGAACCACGTGGTCGAGTGACGTTCGTGGGGGCGAGGGACAGGACACGCGACGCGGGCAGGTCGCTTCGCATGGCGTGGACGCTGATGTCCCGGGGAGAGGAGGAAGGGGAGAAGACGAAAGAGGAGAGGGGGAGCGGAGAAACAGACCGATAAGCGCGCAGGGCAGCGCAAACTGGCGCATCCGCGTTACGATGATCACGTGGACGCCGTTCAGCCAACACCGGGAGGAAAAACTCATGACGTCATTGTCCAATTTCGCTTTGAGAAGTAAAAACAAACAAAACAAGAGAATGACGTAAACATGCCTCTGACGTAGTGGCTCAACGTTGGCCGCTCCAACTCCGTCGCATTGACTGCGCTGACGATTGCGACTCAGGTCGCACGCTAGAGTTGGCAGATTTCGGCGACTTGGCTGATTTGAAAGTTTGCTGGCCAGTTTATTAAATATAGAGACGGAATTCAATCGTAATATTTGACATGGGGTCTTCCTATATGATACTGAAGAGGGCTACATAGTTGTCTAAATATCAAAAATGGAGCGGAGTTGCCCTTTAACGATCAAACTCTCGTGAGACGGCTCTTTTCTCGTCGTAAGAGATCGCAAAAGGTTTTAGGCGTAGTATCGTAAGCAGCCGCGAGTGTGTGAGCCAGCCTTGACACCTCCGAAATAGCAAGGCCGTACAGCTAGATGTTTTCCCCAAGGAGCCGAATCCGCGACCTTCCCCAATACATACGCGATCCCGCAGGGCGTACCACTACACCCCATATCGGCGCGCGGACGCTTCCCAAGACGTGTACCTGGTTGTCGGCTTCTGCAAGCTCATGTTTCTCTCGGCGATGGTGGTGGCGCTCATGCTCATCACCGAGCACCGGGAGCGCACCCTGGTGTCTTCCATGAACATTTCTTCCAGCATCTTGACAGAACGGATCCTCGTGCCTGCCACCGGTGAGGAGGATGTAGCACGGCCAGCGTTTCGCATGGCGGTCCTGATGTTTAGTCCTCAAGTATGCTCCGTTTCGCTCTCAGTCCCAGCGCAGTCAACGCTGGGACTTTGTGCGTTTGCCATCCCCGTCTAAACCAATCACGCACGGTGAAAAGACGGCGATGCACTTTTGGTGCTCGCCGATTGGTTGCATCGGTTAGTAGCGTCGGCTGCGGTCGAACTTGATGCGAAACGGTTTAGACCTAAGCAAAGGGTACATTAGACGCTGTGAGGACTTGTGTGCATGGCTTGTACCTGACGTCATCGCACCATGGTGGTGGCAAGGTGGCCATTCTTTATCGTTCTTGCGAAGAAACACCAAATTTGATTGTGCGTGAAATGTATGCTCTGAAAGATGCGCGCTCAGCAGCAAAAAGGCCCCCACAATAGCCACTCATCTGACGTCATTGCGAGCTACGTATACTGTGAGAGGTCAGTCTACCGTTGTAGGTAGGTGGAGCACAAGTTCGTCTGCTTTTTTTCAGCTTTTGTGGTGAAGTGAGAACGCCGTGCTCTGACTGACTCTGATTGAAGGATAGTGGGTAGACCTCAAGGCAGCTTGCTTTGAGGTCTACCCACCATCCTAGAATCTAAACCAATCAGAACTCGGCGTCGTTTTGACGTCACTGCAACCCCTGTGCAAGGAGCAGACGACTTGCGCTCCCATAGCAAGCTTAGTTCAACACTGAGAAGAGGAGTTTAGACGGTGCAATGGAACAGCCTAACCAAGCCTCTTCAACGTGCGTCACGTAAGGGTGCTAACATGCCCCCGTGCCGTTATGATGACCCTTTATATCGGGGTTACTCCACGCCAAAGGACCCAGGCCTAAACTCGACCTTCAAGAATTCGATCTAAAAATATCGTTTGTGTTATTGGGGATGTAGAAGTACGTCTTCCATTATTTAATTATTTTATTTTTTTGACGACACCTTCAATTTTCCGGAAAACAGGCCCCAAGGGGTAAAAAACTTTGAAAGAAAAGGGTTGAATCGAGATTTTAAAATAAACACCGTTTCGTAAGTTAATAGTTCTGAGTTACCCAGTATATTTTGTCACGCATTTTCGAGTGTTTTTAATGGTGCGTTATGCGTTAAAAAATCCTAAAAACCGGATATCGCCTTTTATTTTCAAGAACACGCTA